TAATATAAAACGCATGTTAGGTTCTATGAATTTTTTGTTTAAAGCTTTTCAAAAATTTAGTATTGTTTCATAATTTTAGTCTTTTAGAGATGGGAGGGGGATATTATGGGGACAAAATGTTTTAACTATTGTAATGTATTCTCCAAACTTTTAGTATCTCAAGCGACTTTATACCCAATTTTACTCTGGGACAAGTCATTTGGTATCTATCATTCAACAATTAACATTGTCTTTAGAAAAACGGTTAATTACTAGAGCATCATGAACAAAATGACAGAAGGAGGTATCTAACTATCGTGTTAAAAATATTAATTAAAGTTTAGAGTAAGCAATGCACCAAATGTGTTCTACTAAAATTTGTCAAGAAATCACCGAACGTCAACTTTCTCATCCTCTTTTTTCTTTCCTCTCGTAATATCACGGGTTCAAACCCTATTTCGAGACGGTGCAAGTTCGAAAGTGCTTAAGGCAAAAAGGTGACGTCCATGCAAACTAGCTAAGAGCATCACCATTGGTGATATTATTTGGGTGTCTTTAAATAAACAAATATTAAAAACACACTTTCTCTTCCTTTTACTCAACTTTATACCTTCTCTTTCATCATTTTACTCAACTTTTATTAATTTTATATTTAAACACACTCCAACTAAAAGAAACCCTCTCTCTAAAAGTGTCTTCCTATACAAAGAAATTTTCTCTCCAAATATCCACTATCTCCTCTTTTTACTCAAATTTTATTAATTTTATATTTCAATACCCCTCATTATTTCAACTAAAAACACTCTCTTTCTTCTTTTTATTCAAATTTTAATAATTTTATATATAAAAACACTCACAAAAGTTTACCATTACTGATGCTCTAATGGCAATATAATATTTAATTAATCTTCAAATCTTCCAAGAGCCTGTCTTGAGAGGTAGATTTTTTTTTTTTCTCAAATGATATTATAATTAAACCAAAGTTTAAAATTACATAAAGCCAGCAGATATACTTATCTCCACAACCAAAAGTTGGCAGAATAAGTAAGTTTTCCGGAGCCAACCAGGCCTGAAAATTTAAAGGTTATAAGCAAAAAAAATTTTTTGGCTAGTAATTATTGATGTTTTGAAAAAAAAAAAGAAATTAAACCAAAAGTTTTAAATGACTAATCAAACCTTCCACCTCTTCTTTATTCTATATAGCTCATGAACCAATTGAACTAAAAAAAATTTATGCATATTTATGAGCCGATAATATATATAAACAAAACATCACAAATTTTGAGCTGCAAGTACGAGCTTGATCCGCTTGCCCTCAGGGCCGGCCCTGAAGCCAACAGCCGACAGAAAACATAGTCCTCGAAGGCTAAGCCCTAAACGAAGGAAACAAATTAACAATCTACTAATAACAAACGCCGAAACTAAAAATATAGGTAAACATAGCTCAACATAACCAAGAACCATCGACAGAAACTTGAATTCAAAAGAACATGACTAGCTAAACAAAGTTCTCTAGCTCTTTGATGACCATGACGAATCGAAGTGGATAATACAAATCCTTACAACGATGAGAAATCCCCCAATCAAAAGAAATTATAAACAATAATGTTTATAGGTTTGAAACCTAGAGGTTCGGGTACCAAACAAAAAAAAAACAACTTTTTGTGCTATATTTGAAAATTTTGAAACTTTTTGCACATAATTCTAAAAAAAATAAGATTGGTAAATGCAATAAAAGATTTTATAAAGAGTGAGTGCGATTTTGGGCTTATGCCCTATTGACATACCCAAAAAATGGGAACATGGTATATTTTCCTATGAAATAAGTAGTGCCTGTCAATACATACATGACTTATTGAAAAATGTCAAAAACCTCATCTACTATCTATAAATTTAAATTTAGTCTATGATGTATCCCACAAAACCGTAAATTGTATCAGATTCCGTTAATGGATTGGTTAAGTGTATGACATGTGGACCTCCGTTTTGTTTCGGTTAAGTGTTGACCAAAGTTTTTTTTTTAAATATTCTTTAAAACAAAACGACGTAGTTTTGTTTAAGGATATGGGGGAAAGTGAAATTATGGTTTTATTGTTTGTCGGTTTCA